CCTAATTAGAGCCTAGATTTAAAACAGTAAATAAAACAGCTACAGAGGACATGTTGAGGTACTTGGTGTTATATAAAGGAATGTCTTTATTTCTTAGGAAACAGAACTTAAAATATTTAGGGTTGCGATGTCATGATGTTCATGATATATGCAACTTTAAATGTTTCAGGAAGACGCATAATAAGAATGATAGAGCAAATATAGCAAAATATTAATAATTAATCTAGGGAAAGGATAAATGGGTGTTTATTGTTGTATCAGTATATCAGTTGTTTGTATCTACAGATTATCCCCAAACTTAAAACAAGCAAATAATAGTGATGATGATTCGGATTATTATGGTAATGATGATAGAAAAGAAGGGAAATGGAAGAGAAGAAGCAAGTCAGGTCCCAGTTTACACAAAGGAAAATATTTTTATTTTAAATTTATTTTCATTCTTAGACTGAAAAAACTGACCTAGCATTTCTAGAAATTATTTCTCATTTCAACTTTTAAATCATTGAACATTCAGGTTATGAATGTTCTGGTACTCAAAGAAACTAGACAACATCCTTTCAGTTCAGCAGCATATATTTTCTGAGTGTCTGCTCTGTGCCTGGCTTATTTTGAGACATAGCCAGCTCATTTCTCCCAGCTCTAATATTCTTTGGTTCTGTGATGCTAAGTGCCTAAATACAATAGCAACTGTAGCTCAAGGACAAGCCATATTGGTTGTCCTCAGCGTGGCATTTCCTAAGCATCAACTTAGACCTTTGTTCCTCAATTTGAATGTGAAGATTGGTGAAGTCCTAATGGCAAGAGCACAGTTAAGCATCCCACACACTGTTGCCAGTAGGAGAAATGAAGGAGCTGCATTATCTTTAATACATTTTTATGGCTATTATTTCTCTTGGAATTGCGTTCAAATCCTTTATTTTGCATTGATAGTTCTGCACTCTTCATCCTAACAGCTACATTTTATTCAGTACCTACTATGGGGTCAAGCATTTTAAATAGGCATTATACCTACTTTATCCATAATCCTTACTACACCCATTTTGCCCCAAATTCACACAGCTAGTAAGTGGCAAAACTGGGTTTAGCACAGAGCTTTTTGTTACTTTAAAACTAGGAGACTTTCCTTTACACTGTGTTACCTAAACCTCAATCATAGAGGGAGTCTGAGAGTGTAGCTGGGCAGCTCGCCTTTGTCATCTACCAGTCTTACGCCCTCTCTGCCAAATTAGGAAGCACAAATAAAATATAGGTTTTTTTAATTCCCCAATTTTATCACTTATCATATGGTACTGTAATGAAATCTTCCTTCCCCCTATACCACCTTCTCTCCAACTGTTTGAGGGCAAGGGAACTTTGTTTTATTCATCTTTATATTTTTAATACCTAATACATAGGTACTCCACAAATGTTAGTGAACTAATTATTAATGGGCCAGAGGAAAAATGTTATAGTAATGGAAAACAAAACATTTTCTTAGCTTTTTCTATGTGCCAGATGCCCTTTCTTCACAAAAGCAGTTTTCTGATATGCTCAGTTTTCACTGTTTTGGCCTGTGTTTAATTGAGCTCAAGAAAAAAAAATCTGAAATCTGAGTCTGAGGTTCATTTAACTGTGCCTATAATTTAATGAGATTTATGTAGCCCAAGTTTACTAGCATTTGCATATTAGTAAGAATCTTTATATTTTGCTTATTATTACTATCATAACAGAAGAAAAATTTTTGTTGAAAGCTTATTATGTTAGAGATAAAAGATTATTTTAAAACTATTCCATCTCCCTTTCTGAAAGCTACAATAGGAGTACCTCCAGCCTGAAGATCCTCTTCGGATACTCTTTTTATTGTGTCCTTTTTCTCACAGTTTAGAGCTTAAAGTGAGATTTTTTTTTAAGTGTGTTTTCCTGGCATCTCATGTTTAACAGTGTCAGGGTTTGTGTCCCTGGACGAAAACTGTTTCTCCGGAGCCTTTTTTCTCTCAGCTTCCAGTGAAAAGAGGGGCGAGGCGAGCCAGTAGCTTACCACAAAGCAATGCCACCACAAAGGAAAGATTAAGGGTTTAGAGAGAGGTCAATGTGGGTTTTTCTCTAACTAAACACTTTCCTAAAGTTTCCTTGTGGAAAAATAATGAAGTCATCTCAGAGTTTTTAAAGAATTTTTATTTCTTTTTCACCGTCTGCATTCGCTTGTCTTCTCAGCATGGATGTTTAATCTTCCGAGGCTTTGTGAATTGGCCCAAATGAATAAGTGGTGATCTGTCTCTCTAGGAGCTAGAGGCTTATTCTAAGGGCCTAATCACTGAGTAAACACATCTTTGCCCTCCCTCTCACAACTGCGATATAATAGTCGAGATTCTAGCACAGTAACCTGGATATTGCAGGGACCAATGCTTTGAAATGCAGAATGGTTGATCCTCCAAAACAGACAGTGCCTGATCTTTGCCTGCCTCTTTCTTCTTTTGTAAATTAAATATTGCCAAAGAGATGCTGTTTTATTGCTTGATATTGTGCATTAGTGCCCTGGATTTCCAAGTTTAGTTTCAGTCAGCACTGTCGGTTGCACTTATAGGGAACTCTGCATGTTGGGTTTCTTGGTAGCTTCTTCAGCACATGTGTGTTTTGATTTGGAAGAGCATTTAAATTAAATCAGTGAGATAGCAATGTAAATCGCTAATCTCTTTCCCAAAGTTTAAATGTTCTATTGCAGTGTTCTTGAGAGAAATAGGCATTTCAATGATTTAAGTATTGCCATTGTTTGGTTAGAAATATGCTGATTTAAAAGTGGACTGCTCTTGTTCCCACTGTCTCATTAAATATAGTTGCTGAGAAACGATTGAGCAGAATTAGAGGTTGACATCCCTCTGTCTATTCAGCTGGAGAGCTCCTAAGAAAAGGGACTCAGTTTGTTAGTGCTGCCAGGTTCAGTTCCTTTCCCTCTGCTGCCATTTGTTTTTTTTTTTTTTTTTGCCAGGAGGGGCTGTTTGAAATCAACATTCAAGTTTCTTTCATCAAACATACTGAGACCTATGCTAGCTTAGGGATGCAAAGACTGAAAGAGACCCAGTCCTTACACTGGAGAGACTTTGGGGGTGGGCGGGGGGCGAGGGGTAGGGGATATACTGGTAAACAATTAGAATACTAATGGGAAGAGATAGAGGTCCAGAAGAGGAAGCTCTTAACTCTGCCTAAGGGAATCAGGGGAGGTTTCACAGAGGAATTTGCTTTGAGCCTTAAAAGATGAGTAGGAATTGATCAGATAAGTATCTCTTCAACAATGTATCTGATTACAAACTTCCTAGAAGCCTCTATGGTTTTCTGCAGACTCAACATAGATGAACCCTGAGTCTTTTTTATTCATCATTTTATCACCACTGCTCCCTGCTGTGCCTAACACAAAGTATTTCATCAAATGCTTGTTGAATGAATGAATAAATGACTTGAAACATGGAAGCATCTATTGTTGGAGTAGCTGAGCTACTTATCTTAGGAATCCTGCTCTTATTCTAATCACATGCTGTCTGTGAGGCTCCAGAACCACTGCTGTATGAGCAGTGGCCAGTCTGGCATCTTCATATTGTATAAGCACTTTAAGCCTTACCTATAATGTTGGCAATTTCCCTGCCATTATCAAAGAAAGAACAGTAGGCTTAGAGTCAGTCAATCCGGGTTTTATTCTCAGATGTACTGCTTACTTAACTGGTTATGAAATTTAGGACAAGTCAGCTTTTAAATTTCCTCATATACTAATAAAGTTAACACTATTTTACAGGTTTATTCTGGGGACTAAAGTAGATAATGGGTATGTAACTGCCTCCTCTTCATAGTAGATGCTTTTGGAATCTTAATCTACCTTCATCTTATATTATAAAGTTTAACTTTGAAAAAGATATTTTAATTATAATTTGGTTTATTTATCAGGATAATTCCATCAGATAAGTTGATCAGACTTCATTAACTTTCATCAACATGAGCCTTATTTTTTTCTATAAATGTTCTTTGATTTAGTATCTCACACAAGTTTTTCTTTATTATCATCACATCTTTATTTAATATGAAGGGAAAGCCTGAGCTTCCTTGAAATTTTCCTTTGCTAGAATTTCAAATGTTTGTACATTGTCTTTACCATAAAATTTTATCTTTCCGTTTTCTAGTAATTGACTGTTCTTTAAAGTCAACTCTTCTACAAGATAGCACCAAGAAGTCAGTTAACGACAATTTAGGCTCTTTAATTGTGATTGTTGTTGTTAAAGCTGTTAGGTTGCAATTTATGTTGCTCAGTTTTAATTTTTAGTTTCTATGATCTTACTGAATGTTCAACTACGATGGAACACTTTTAAGAGACCAGATGTCATTTCTTGAAAGCAAGTTTTAACAGATAGAAGGGAAAGAATAATTTTCCATATGAGAAACTACATTATTGGGCATTTTCTGAAATATAAACCAGAAAGAATTTATGTGAAGTGAACATTTTTCTATCATTTCAAGTGGCAATTAGAAGTTACCTGCTCTTGAATTAGAACTTTAATATGGGGACACATTAAGGGCTTTAAAATTACCTGTAGAATTAAAACTTCATTTTAGACTTTTTCCTTTTAAGTAGAAGAGACTTCTCAGTGTTTAGATTAAAAACATTAAAAATATATAAAGAAAATTTAACAATCACTCTTAATCAGTATTTTTTCTTTGTATAGTTGAAGAGTTCAAAAGAAAATGCAATTCTTTTGCAATTTCTGCTTGAGATAGGCTTGCAAACATTAACAGGAGTCTATGATAGGAGTCTGTAAAATGGAATAGAATCATCCCAGCCTCTTTAGAGTATAAGGAAGCAAATCTATTCATATCAGTAAATGCTTTAGGAACTCCCAAGTATTGGGGACTCTTTTAGGGAATAGCATTTAATTTTTGTCTTTGCTGCTTATATTGACTGAATCTGATGCCCTTCTAAAATTTAAGAAATCTTACATTAGTAAATATTTTAACTCATCATTTTTTTCTTCTCTTTTCAGAGAAAGCTTCTTGCTATCTACCTCCACCATGATGAAAGTGTATTAACCAACGTGTTCTGCTCACAGATGCTATGTGCTGAGTCTATTGTCTCTTATCTGAGTCAGAATTTTATAACCTGGGCTTGGGATCTGACAAGGGATGCCAATAGAGCAAGGTAATATTGTTCACAACTTATAGCTGGGCTATTCTTTTTCTTTAAGGCCATCACTGTATTTGGTTTTTATCATCATAAACATTTTCATCCTGAGCATTAAATTCTCTATATTTAATTAGATATTAGCCATTTGTTGTAGCTAATATTTGCAGTTACTCACAATTACGAATTCCTTAACTTTTAAAGATTTCTTAAATTCAAAAATAACTACAAAATTAAAACACATTGTTCTCATCTTTTTTGCAATCAAAGAGATATTGTGCATTTCTGTTTTTTATATGTTCTAATATTGTAATATGTTGTTAAACATTTAGAGAAAAATCTGTTTTTAAATAATGTTTAGAAAAAGCAAGGCAAGTCTAACATATAATCCTAGTAGCAAGTTTATTTTTTTAATAATTCCAATGAAGAAGACAAGACATTCTGGATCAGTCAAGTGGAATTGGTAATAGCTTAACTTGAGCATATGCTAATTGATGTAATCGCTTTATTGCACATATTCTTTTGCACACATCCATAATCTCAATAGGAAAAAAAATCCCTTTTCTAGTTGCCAGGGTAAATTTACTTAGTTTGTTAATCATAACTGTAAGTGATAAATAATTCTTCATATTTTGCCTATTTGCATTTCCCATCTGAAATATATTTCATTGTGTTTAATTACACATGTGGCCACAACATGCCGTGATGTTACTTTGGGTATGTTAACACAATCATAATCACAGGCTATTGGTTTATGAACAAGGAGATTAGATTAATTCATTTTAAGGCAAGTCTATTGTAGCTACCTATTTTAAGTGATTATAGCACAATTAGAAATTAAATCATCTGATTTGTCTATATTATTTTGCGGCATACTGAATTTTTGCTCATCATTCAGACTTTGTTTTATGTAAGCTGAATCTGAAAAGAAAAATGATCTTCCTTTAAATGTGAAGCAAAAGAATGTAGAAGCAATTCCTTCATCTAGTACTTCATTTCTTTAAGCAAATGGTTAGGAAATTTCATAGGATGACTTCGTTCTGCCTTGGAAATCTCCCATGTTATACATAAATAAAGAACCTTTAGTACCTGTATTTGTTTAAATTAAATCAGACTATTATGCACACTCAGTTAAAGGTGATGAAAAGCAGTGCCAAAAACAGATAAAAATGCAGCATCGAAGGTCTTTCATGAGGCAAAATACATAGACTGGAGACTTGGCTAAATCTTTTACTATTCACTGGCAGTAAGGAATCTCCTCCTTTCCTTTTATCCACAACTTGATGGAGAAGGAAACACTATTTCTAAACCATCTGTAGTGGCTAAGTTCAGCGGGCTACCTGCTGTTATTTTGTTCTATCCTCCATTTAATTCCTTAGTTCCTTTTATTTTACAATGACAAAAAATTGCAGTGTAGTTTCTTTTGAAAAACAGTGTTTGAGGGGTTTTTTTTATGACTGGCAATCAACAGCCATGTAATTGCTTTGTTATGTTTTACTAAAGAAGTCTGTTAAGTAGCACAACTTTGATACACTAGTAATAAGAGTTTGCAGGTTACAGAGACACCTGTGGTGACCAAAGCGACAGAAGCTGCTTAGTAGAAAGAGCCAGTACAGCTGTGTCCTATTAACTCCTTATGACACTTTTTTAAAACACAAAATAAAGGCCTTGTTTAAGGCTTTAGAGCTATTTCTCAATGAATTGAGGATGGGCTATGAAGTATGATAGGATATTTTAATCTATATTTTTTAAAATGTGGCATCTTGTTAGTAAGTTTCTGTCATCAAAATAAAAAGAAGTGATATTAAAGACTGAAAATAGAAATATCTAGGAATTCAATTTAATAAAGAATGTAACGATTTCTGGAATTTAAAATACTTGGCATCCTTATTTAAAATCAAATTCCATCTGTATTACAAATTTAAAACCATTTTAACTTAAGTTATTACACTTCTCTCTAAAAAGTAATACAGTTATGTAGCTACTTTTCATGTGCAGTCCTCATTATTACTGTTAAGGCAAATAGGAAAATATACATTTTACAAACAAGATGAAAATTCATTGGACTGACATATTCCTAAAAGAGAATAAAAGTGGATTTCCTTTTGACATATGAAACTGTAAGAGAATTAGTTATTTAGGCTGATATTAGTGCCCCCAAAAAGGGTTTACTTTAGCTGCACGTTTCTTACCACCTATCATAGATTCATCTAAATAAAATTGTCTAATTGAGTTTTGTCTCTGTGGTCTCTCCTGTATTTTATCACCACATTTATCCAAAGGTGTTTGTCGTGAAAATTAATTGCACCATCCATTTGATGCTATTGCCATTGAGTAACAAAACTTCAAACTTTTAAATCAGTGAAGACTGCTGCATTAATAATTAGTGGGCTACATATGGAAAGTTGTTATGCCATCATTTGTCTATTACTAGGGAGTTAAAATGGGACAGATTTACATGTGGAAAGATAGAGGAGATTTCCAGCATCAGAAATAAGATTGTTGCTGTAGATGCCCTTTTACCTGGGGGTGGCGTGGGGGGTTGCTTGTTTGTTTGTTTTATGACAAAATATAAAAGTTTAGAAATGAATTTATGGTGGATGGCTTGTCTGGTCCCATACCTGGCTATTGTAGTTGAGGCTAGTCATAAATTTAGAGAAACCTGAACCTGTAAGCTATTTAGTCTGGATGCTTCCTTAGTGGTTTTCTGGAACTATCCCTAATAGCCAGGGGAAATTGATGCCCAAGATGGGTAAAGACTTGCCAAGCAAATTTACGTTTGCTTATGAAATACTCTGATTAAGCCTACAGAAGCATTAATCCTTAATTTACTGTGAATCTCTCATGTCTGTAGAATATAAGAGGCTATGGAACTAAGTGAATGCTTTGGTAGGGTTACTAGAATGTCAATTGCTATTATGTTAAATTTCCTCATTTCCTTAATAAATTAGAGTAAAAAATAACCAGATTTCTATAGAATGTCACTCACTATCTTACATCCCTGTGATGTTGATGATTTTGAATTTCTCACCTCCAAAATAATTCTAATAACTTTCTTTATAAGTTGAATACTCAAGTTAACCAACCTATCTATATAATAAAAACCCATGTGACCGTTAAGGCAGAACGACCGGTCACGATGATGCACAATGACCACCAGAGGGCAGACACTCAATGCAGGAGCTGCGCCTGGTGGTCAGTGCGCTCAGCCAGAAGCCAGGCTCACGGCTGGCAAGTGCAGGGGCAGTGGCGGGAGCCTCTCCTGCCTCCGTGGCAGTGCTAAGGAGCAGTGAGCAGGCAGGCGGTAAGAAGTGAGGGGTCCCTGCAGGGAGTGGACCTAAGCCAGCAAGCGGACATCTCCCGAGGGGCCCCGAACTACAAGAGGGCGCAGGCCAGGCTGAGGGACCCTGCCCAGTGCACGAATTTTGTGCACCGGGCCTCTAGTATCTGTATAAAGTAGATTAGAATAATTCCTAGATTGATCTTAGAATATTCCACATATGAACTGAGACATCAGACTTTAGCTGTAATGATTATTACAGTGTACACGCTCACTAAATTATCATATAGAACAGTAGTCGTCAACCTTTCGGACGTCATGGACCTCCAGGGGTCCGTGGACCACCAGTTGACGACCGCTGGTATAGAAGGCTTATTCATTTTATTTGTTTCATTAAAAAAGGAACTATACAAAATTTTAGGGGAAAGAAACTCAATAAGCATTTGGCAAATTAATGTAATGTATCCAATTCCACCTGAGACTATTGCTTATAATTTCAGTATTGTATATTGAAGTGGAGGTTTCTTTCTTAGAAAACTCTGAACAGCCTTGTTGGCTGCCATGTCTATTTAGATTTCAGGGCCACTGTTTCTTTTTTTTTTTTTTAATATATTTTATTGATTTTTTACAGAGAGGAAGTGAGAGATATAGAAAGTTAGAAACATCGATGAGAGAGAAGCATCGATCAGCTGCCT